CCCTGGCAGCAGCTCTCAGCCACCACAGGCATTTTAATGAGAGCCGGGCAGAGCCTGGCCTCTCTCAGCCCCCTCAGCTGCCAGGAGCTTTAGCAGGGCAGAGGGTCTCCAGCACAAGCACAGGCGCAAAATTCATTGGTGGGGCTGCGGGCTGCCGCAAAACCTCTGGCAGCTGCTCGGGGAGCCGGCCTCTGAACAGCTCCGGCTGCTGCTCTCTAACTCTCATTATTGCAGCGATGAGGGTGGGCTGTAAAACACATCTTTAATACCCCTGTAGATCTCCTTCTAGCTTCCAGTGTGAGAGCTGGAGATGAGGAGTGAGGTGTAGCAGCTGCTGGCCCAAGGAGCATTTCCAGCTCTGGATCCCCTCCTCCTTGCTGCCTCAGACTGATGGCACAGCAGAGTGACATGTCACCTCTTCCCTGTTTCTTGGTGGGGACCTTTGAGCCTGCAGTGCACAGGGTAGCCACTGAATAGGACATGCTGCTCGGTGTGTCTCTGGGCAACTTCTGTGAGACTCATGGGGCTGAGGGTGTCCAAGAGGCATGTGTCTCTCTCTTGAAGAGCAGTTTTGGGGTGAGGCAGGTGCCCTGGGCAGTGCTTTCACAGCTTCTTGCAGTCAGTGGGGTACAGCATCAAGGTCAGAGCTGCTGGGTTGTTTCAGAGGTCTCTCAAGGAGGTGGTGAGTCCGTGGGGCTGGAGATGAATGCCAGAGTGCAGCCGTCAGAGCAAGGTGTGAGAGTCTTTTCAAGCCGCAGCTCCACTTTACACCTTCAGCCTAGAAGGATGCCCTCAGTGCAGGGAGGGACACAGGGAAAAAAAGGGAGCTGGGATATCCATGCCTCATGTGTCCCACACCTTCCTTTTATCCTCAGCAGCATCTCTGTTGACATCTCATGCAGCTTAATGGATTGTAAATCCCTAAAGCTGAGGCTTACCACCAGGAAGAAAATAATGCCACACCACATCCCTGTCCCTAGCCAGGACTTTGTCACCTTCTATGTCACCTTTTCTGCACCACCACTGCTGCCCAGCCTTGGCAGAGAAGGGCACAGAGCAACTCACAGATGACAGATTTTGCCTGTGGTGTTGTCAGTGACCCTAGGATGTCCCCAGAGACCACCTGAAGGTGACAGGGCAGTGGAGGGCTCCCCAGCTGTGTCAGGGTGTCAGCTCAGCAATGCAACATCTCTGTCTTTACATCATGTAATGTCCTTCCATGTCTGTGTTTTTGTTCATTTTGGTTACCGCTGTCTCAGGGCAGACACTGGTGCAGGGCCTGGCAGAGGGGCTCCTCACTGTGCAGTTTGCTGTTGGAGGGGAGGAGTCACACAGCTCCCAACAGCTGCAGCAGTGCAGGTACCACAGCAGCCTGTTCAAAGATGCTGCTGGCATCTTCACCCTGGCCTGATGGACAGGCTTGGACTGGGTGTTTGCCTTCCCTCTACAGCATCTGTTTGCACAATAAATCCATTTTCACTGGGAGGTTATCATAGATGTTCTGCTGGAAAATGCATAGAGGGGAGGGCCTGGAAAGATGGGGATAGGGGAGAAGTTGTGGTGTTTTCCCCTCTCCTGTTTGACAGAGGAGCCATGCAGAGCAGGGCTGAGGGCTGGGAATCTGCAGGAAACAACGGGAGGTGGAAGGGTGATCAGCACCTTGTGAGTGAAAGATGGTGTGGGGCAGATACAAGGTCTCCAATGTTGCACTCTTCTGGCACTAAGTTGCTGCAACACCCTGTGCCTCAGTGTGATTTTCACTTTCAGGAGGGTGATTTTCACTTCCTAGGCCTCCTAGAACCTGCCTGATGATGGTTCTTGGCTCCTCTTTCCTCCATTTTCAGCAGCAGCAGTGAAAGCATCCCCACTTTTGTTCTGGTTCCCTTCCCTTCCAGTTTCCACTTTTCTTCATGGGCATCATCTCTGCCTCAGGTAATTGCAGTAGGTCGGCAGACACTGTTTTTTCCAGAGGATGGTTTTGAGAGCCCTCCATGGTGGAGCCATGAGCAGCATATTGGGCTGTGCCACACAAGGACCAGCTCCTCCCCAGCAAGCCCTCACCAGGGTAGGGGAGCATCCAGAAGAAACCAGAGAACCCCAAACACCCACTTCATGACAAATACAAATCCTTCCTGAGCTTAATTCCACATGTGCCAAGAGAAACAGTGCTCCTGGCAGCAGCATTGTGAATAAAAGAGGAAAGGCTAGAGCTGGTGCTACCCTGGCTCCTCACCTCATTGAACTCTGCTGCTTTCTCCCAGCAAAATCTGGGATCCACAGCCTGGGGCATAGAGGGGAGGAAAGTCCAGGTATCAGTTGGAACTCAGCCAGGGACATTCACTGCCTTTAGGATTGTTTGAAGAGCTGCTTTGCTTTCTAAAAATGAAAGGCATGCTGGAAGCAGCCGCTGCAGGGTGGGGTGAGCGTTGCTTCCATGTTGGGATGGTGTCAAGTACCCGGCCCCATCTCTAGGGTTTCCCCCAAGCCCAGGCTGCCCTCAGCAGCTGCAAGTAAGGGGGAGATGAGGACAGGTGGGCTGGGAGCATGCCTGAACTCCCAGACACAGGGTTGAGGCTTTGCATGGGAAAAGTGAGATGCATCATTTCAGGTGCTATGGGCATCATTTCAGGTGCCAGCATCCTCTAGTTGTGGCAGCCTGCCCAGGTAGGCACTGCAGCTAAGGGCGCTGCTGCCACTCTACAAACATCTCTGCCTGCTTCACAGCTCTCTCAGCTCCCGCCTGGACTTCACCAGCAGGGCTGGCAGAGGATCTGCTGCCAGCTGAGTGTGGTGGGGGCGGGCAATGGGGAGAGAGCAGCATGCCCTGACCTGCTTCAACTATGAGATCACCTTAAAGAGTCATTCAAACCCATCCACTGCCCTGGGCAGCTCCTGATGGATGTGAGTGAGTGCAAGAGGCTGGGCACCTATGGACCAGAGCAGGCACTGATCCCTGGGGCTGCATTTGTGTGCACCCTGCTCCCCAAAACTGTGCTGTGCTCCTTCAGAAAAATTCCCATGTTGTTTCACACAAGCCCAGGGTCAGATCTGTGCCCCACTTAAACTCAAGTGCTGCCGGCTTCTCTAGGGGCAACTGAAGGAAACACTTTGCACGGAGTATCTGCCCCAGCATCCCCCAGGCACAGGGGCAAAGCAGGGAGGTCACATGTGTCCATGCAGAGTTCTGGCTTGTGATGGACAGTCCTTGGCAATGGGGACACAGTGCAGGGATGAGCAGTAACCAGAGCTATGCTGCACCTGTGCTGGGCCTCCTGCTTTTGCTCTGATTTAATGTCCCAGTTGAGAGGTGATGTCATTTTGGAGGGAGCTAGACAAAAGGAAGTGCTGGAAAAGATAAGGTGCTTTAACTCTACCCCTCCTGTCTTGACTGGGTTTTGAAGCTGGGAGATGTGTTAGCTGCCAGACAGGAATGAGAGAGGAGTGGAAAGAGGTTTGTTGAAGGACACCTTCCCCTTAGGCCAGTGGGAGCTGACACCAGGAGGTGCTGAGACAGAGTGAGATGGAGGACCTTGGATGTTCCCAAGTTGTGTGAACATGATTTTTTGTGCACTGCTTTGGTTTCTCCATCACCTTCATCTTCATCTCACAAACATGTCAGGTGGGTAGTCTGCAGCACCAGTCATGCGTCTCTAGAGCGTGGGTGCCACACCAGCAGCCAGAAAGGTGTTCCAGAAGGATAAGCAGAAATGTTGCCAAAATGCTGGAGAAGGTAAATTGAGAATATGCCAAGGCTGCCCTGCTTCCAAAGGGGAGAGAGACTGGCTTGTTAAAAGGTCTTTTTGAGCTGTGGAGATGGGTCAGGGATTCTTATGGTGCTCAGGCTTTCAAAAGGATCTCGTGGGAGCATCGTGGTCCCTTTGACAGTCAAAGGCAGTCAAGCCCCCAAGTCCTCTCTGCCCTTTGGGTGTTGTCAAGCTGCATCTGCTCATTCGCATGGCTGGGAAAACCTCAGGGGAGACTTGAGGCAGATATGACTCAAGCTCTTCTCCACTGCATGGAGCTGCCACCCAGATGTCCTCAGCTGGAGGGGAGTGAAATTAGGCCACTGCTAGCCAGACCTGGCTCTACCCTGGAGTACGGGATGAGCAAGTGAGAGCAAATCAGGATCACCAGTGGTCTTATGCAACTGTGCAGGACATGCAACAGCACTGGGGCTTTTCCATCTCCCCTTGCTTTCAGCCCTGCTCAAGCTTTCAGGACTGGCTCTTAGATTTTGGCCATGCCAGACACTGTGACAATAGCTCTGGCCATCACATGCCAGCTAATGCAACCTCAGCTGGAGGTTTTCTTTCAACACTGGTCTTCAAGGTGCTCAAACTGAGTGTGACTGCCCAGAAGCTTGGTGCAGTAAACTGGACACTGCTTGCTGTCACATTCAGCAAGGTCAGAGCATGAAAAACAGCAGTGGCCTGCAAGTACCACTGTGCCACCCTGGTGTGACAGAAATCATGGGCTTGGCAGGGCTGGGCACAGGGGTCCTCTCTCAGAAACCACGATGTGTAAGTGTAACCAATGCAGCAAGGTTCAGGCTAACCTCCCAGACCCAGGAGCTTTGCATCTCAGTGGGCTTGCTTGTCGTCATCCTGCCCTGATGGATTTTGCTATCAGAAGGTGACATTGTCCTCAGAATAGTAGGGGACCAAGAAAAGGACTGTCTCTTCTTGTTACTTGTCTGAATGAAGTTGAGAAGAGCCAACTTCATTGGAGAGGTTATGGGATGCCTCACATGTGCATCAATATCCAGCTGCAACAGGGAAAAATCAGAGCTGGTTCTCCATTCCTTTCTCCACCTGTGTGTCACTGCCATCACAAAGTGTGTGAACTGGTTAGTGGTGGCTGGTGCCTTGTTGCTCCTGGAGGCTCGAGGCTCAAGGCTGCAGGGTTATCACCACTTTGTCCCCAGCCAGGGCCTCGGGCTGCCAGGTACTGATGATCTTAGCCTTGCTGCTCCATGCTCAATGTCCCCATTTTCTCTACAGGAGGCTTTGCCACCTTCTCATCCTGCTTCCCAGGGCTCTGTGAGGGGAAGCCAGCTGCCATCCTGCCGATGAGCATCTCCCAGCCATGCTTGCCTGTGGCCAACGTTGGCCCCACGCGCATCCTGCCACATCTCTACCTGGGCTCCCAGAAGGATGTCCTGAACAAGGTACAGCCCTATTAAGGGGACACATCTTCCCTGTCCCATTGAGGACCCCAGTCATGCAGAGGGATGAAGGTATTAAGGATTCCCCTCCTTCCCAGTGGAAAGGCCACACAGTGCACTCTGAAAGGTGCCAGCAAGGCTGTGCTGTGATGCCACACCAAGGAAGGAATTTTGTTTAAAGGAAAAGTAATAATGAGAAGAAATAAAGAGGAATTGCAGTTAAAGTGCTGCCAAGCATCTGCCTTCTGCAGCTGTGAGGGAGCCAGCCAGGCGTCCTCCTCCATGGCAGTCAAGGAGAGAGAGGGCCCATGACACCAGACTGGAGTCAGAGACAGAAAGGACGGAGAGAGAAATTATGTACAGGGAGTAGAAGGAAATGAAAGAAAAAAATTACAAGAATGTGAGCCTGGGAGCTGGACTGGCTCCATCAAGCCTGCTGGAAGGGCAGGAACCAGCCACTGGAGAGCCACAGTGGAAATCCTGGGGCCAAAATTCTGAGGAGCCAATGCCAGACAGAGAAATTGATGGTTTCCTTCCCTCCCCACCTCCTTGGAGTTTTGGAACTGTGTTTTCTGCCATCCCCACAATGTGGCCACGTGCTGGAGAAGAGAAGCATTTCCCACACAAGGCCCTCCACCCTTGACCTCACATTGTTGCCTATGGATAGAGGATCCTTCTGGCCACAGAGGTTAATGTAGGGTGCTACCAGTGACTCAGTCCACTCTGTTGGTGAGATGTCTCCCTTCTCCCTCAGCTGATACTTTCACAGCTTTCAGAGTTTTTGCTTATTTTCTTTCTTGTACTGTACTTGACTATTCCTGTCATACTGGGGTTGTTGGGTTTTCCCCTCCACAACCCTTTTCCAGGTGTCTTTGGCCTTGCTCACCCCTTACTTGGACCAAAATAAAGATCTGATGAGGCTCAAACCTGTGTCATGTGTGGTGCAGGCAGAACTCAGCTGATCATTTGATGGCTTCTTTTCCACCAGGACCTGATGACACAGAACGGGATAAGCTATGTCCTAAATGCCAGCAACTCCTGTCCCAAGCCAGACTTCATCTGTGATAGTCACTTCATGCGCATTCCTGTCAATGACAACTACTGTGAGAAGCTGCTTCCCTGGCTGGACAAGTCCATTGAATTCATTGGTGAGCTTTTCTTATAACTATAAGAAGACCCTCCAATTCTCAGCCTTCACAACCTGAACTCTTGTGTCCTCCCTGGTTTTGCTCCCAGCAACTGTTGTCCTCTCACACAAAGGGGCTGAGGGTTGGGGAGGGAGGCTAGAACCATTTTGCTCACAGTTTTTGTTCTCTCTGTTCCCTCTGCCATGCTCCAGACAAAGCTAAGGTGTCCAGCTGCCAGGTGATTGTGCACTGCTTGGCTGGGATCTCCCGGTCAGCCACCATTGCCATCGCCTACATCATGAAGACCATGGGTATGTCATCAGATGATGCTTACAGGTGAGTTTTCCTCTGAGGGTAGCAGGAGGGTTATGCCAGTATGCTTCACTGCAGGGAAGGAAGGAGAAGGAGAGGGTTAGGGCTCCTCGAAGCTCTGTCTTGCTTTTGCTGGGTCCCAGTAAAACCAAACCAAACCTCCTCTCATAAAATGCATGCAACAAGGAATGGTTGGGAGTAGTAAAAGGGAGTGGGGAGGCAGTCCCACCTCTTAATTCTGGGGTGTCCCAAGGCCCCATGGCTCCCCAAGATCCTTTCCTTCGGAGGGTCTGGTCAGAAGATTCTCAATGATGCCTCTTCTCCCTAAAGAGGCTGAGCGAGTAGGGGTGGCCCACTGAAGGACCAAGCACCAACGGGGCTGTCTGTGCCTCTCGGCAGGTTCGTTAAGGACCGTCGCCCGTCCATCTCGCCCAACTTCAACTTCCTGGGCCAGCTCCTGGAGTACGAGAGGAGCCTGAAGCTCCTCAAGGCCCTAAAGTCAAAAGGCGACTGGGGCGAGGGGGACGCCCAGCAGGACCCAGCAGAGGTGGCTGAGAGCGGCCGGCATCCCCTGACACCTACCTCAGAGAAGGCCGAGGACGTGCCGAGGAGCACCGGCTCGGCATCCCCCACCAGTGACCCCGAGCGGCCGGCCGGGACCCCAAAGGTCCTGTCACCCACCACCCTGCAGCAGGGGCTCAACGGCTTGCACCTCTCCTCCGAGCGCATCCAGGACACCAACCGCCTGAAACGCTCCTTCTCCCTGGACATCAAGTCTGCCTACTCCCCTGGCCTGCGGCAGGACCCCCCTGGGCCCCCTGGACCTGGGGAAGCCCCTAAACTCTGCAAGCTGGACAG